AAAAGTGTGGCATGCCCATTGTCTCAAGGCTTCTCCTCAACAATGCCCAAGGGACACGTAGAATTTCTCTTGTTGCGTTTACCTTGGTGGGTCGTCTTTTTTTTTTGTTGTGTGTGTGTGTGTATGTTCTTGTTGTATTCCACGCCATTGTACGCATGACGGCTTCTGTATCTTCGTCCGTGCACCACACACTGCATGGCGCGACAAAGAGATATTAGCTCTAGTAAGGAAAAAAAGGGAAGAAAACAAAGTTTTACGACGACCAAAAAAGACGAAAAATAAGATAAAATAAAAAGGACGTGGAATAAGCCAGAAATGCGTCTTTATATCGTTATCAGCATTGCGCTTATCCTTATCTGCGTCACTGCGGCCCACGCTCTCCATGTGGAAGACACTCTACTTTTAACGGATGAATTTTTGGACCGTGTGAACCGTCTCAATAATGGAATGTGGACGGCTGGCCGCACGAACAGAACAAAGGAACTCACGCGGCGTGGGGCCAAACGGCTAATGGGAGTTACCCGACGAACCACCACCATTCTCGCCCCGCGGCACTTCAGCAAGGAAGAACTTCAAGTACCGCTCCCTGACAGTTTTGAGTCCTCCGAAAAGTGGCCGAACTGTCCCACCATTACAGAAATCCGTGACCAATCTGACTGTGGTTCTTGCTGGGCTGTGGCAGCAGCTTCAGCGATGTCGGATCGTTATTGCAGCATGGGTGGCGTACGCGATCTTAGGATCTCTGCGGGTGCCCTCTTGTCGTGCTGCGAAACATGCGGTTTAGGTTGCAATGGCGGCGACCCAGATTCAGCTTGGTCCTACTACGTCGAAACTGGTGTTGTGTCCGAGTTCTGTCAGCCGTATCCCTTTCCATCATGTGCCCATCATGTGAACAGCACCCACTACTCCCCATGTTCAGGGGAGTACAATACACCTTTATGCAACACCACGTGCACCGACACGGCGATTCCGCTGATAATGTACAAAGGAAAGAGCAGCTACTTTTTGACAGGAGAGGATGATTTCAAGCGCGAGTTGCTTTTGCGTGGACCATTTGAGGTGACCTTCACTGTGTACGAGGACTTCGTGGCCTACAGAGGCGGCGTATACAAGTATGCCAGTGGCAATGCTCTTGGAGGCCACGCAGTACGCCTTGTTGGTTGGGGTAATCTGAACGGAATATCGTACTGGAAGATTGCGAATAGCTGGAATGATGAATGGGGTATGAATGGCTACTTTCTTATTCTTCGCGGGCAGAATGAATGCGGAATCGAGGAGCGTGGCAGTGCAGGTACGCCAAAGGTGCTACAGAATGAGTAAAAGAACGAGACAGGTATGAAAAGTGAAAAAAGCAGGCAAAGGGAAATAAAAGGTCTGGAAAGCAGGGTAGGAAGCTTTTTTACTGGCTCTAATTAGTTTTTTTTTGTTCCGGGGCTGTTACAAACGGAATAGAGTTATATTTATTTATTTATTTAGTTTTTTGTTTCTATGATTTACACCTTCGGTGTTGGCATGCTGGCGCTGTTCATTTTGAGCGCTTCTCTTGACTGGGGATGTTCATGTGCGGCCGCTCGCTGTGGGACACCTTTTGTGGGTAGGCGTCCTTTTCATATAATTCCTCTTTATTAGCAAGGTGAACACGTTGGGCGTGCTCAGCGCAATATGCGTGCTTCTGTACATCACCCTTGCCGTATATGTCCCGCGGATGCCGTCGTCTGGCTGTTACTGTGTCTTCAGCGGCTGGATGGCATTCGTGTCAGGCTTCTCATGCAGACCCAGCCGAGGGCGCAGATGCCCTTGTTAGAACCAAATAGAGATAAGCGCCTTTGCTGTAATAAAATTAACGCGTGAAGCAAATGCGGCTCTTCTGCTGGCAGAACCCACCGACTGCCGGTGAGTGGGGTTTTTCTAACGACTCAGGAATTGAGACGTCTGAAACTCCCATGGTCATTTAGGCAACTATGGACGCAAGGGAAATGCCCTTGACCGATTCTTCTTCAGAGCGGGGCAATAAGATGTAAAAGCGTTTCATGTGTATCATACCCTCGAAGGTGGTGGTGAGTTAGCGTGTGGGAAGGGAGATGAGGAAGGTAAGGAGTATCATTGCCCTTTGTGTTAAACAGCGCGGAACGAGCGCCCAGGATGGGGTCCCGATACCGTACTGCATGGAGAAAAAGAATGTGGATGCGTATTCACGTGGAAGCTTTGTGGATTTTTTAGGAGCGGGGAATGCGGTGGCCCATTTTAGCGGGGCGCTCTAGCGGCAGGGTTTTTTTTTTTTTGGGGGTTTTTGGGGGGGGGGCTACGTA